GCGCTGATGGGGCCTCCTCTTGTTTTTCAATTTTGCGCAAGGGCAGAGCGATTTTAATTGCATTGTGCATGCACGCATATGCACGCACATGAAAAGCACGCACACAAGCAAACCAGCAGCAATGTTGGCCGGAACCCATCCCTGAATAGGATAGGATAGGATAGGGTAGGGTAGGGTAGGGTAGGATAGGATAGGATAGGATAGGATAGAATCAAGTTGAATAGAATAGAATAGAATAGAATAGAATAGAATAGAATAATAAATATGGAATGGAATGGAATAGAATAGAATAAAAAATATGGAATGGAATAGAATAGAAATAGAAATAGAAATAATAGAAATAGAATAATAAATATGGAATGGAATGGAATGGAATGGAATAGAATAGAATAGAATAGAATAGAATAGAATAGAATAGGAGTGATTGGACACACAAGGACGTTGTCTCTGTTACATTAGCTCTCAGTGTACATACAAGCAACAAATGATAAATTATTATCATCATCATAAAATGTCATCACAAATCATAAGATACAACAGTCAGTTACAGTCATAGGACTCTAAATAAACAATCAACATAGAGATCATAAAGTTAACAGTCTTAAGATGCTAAAGGAATAGCTTATAGGAAAGATGAGAAGGGTAATAGTAATACAGCTCTACTAGGTGGTTTTGACATCCCAAGGTGTAAGACACATGCTGTGGGAAGTAGTTGTTTAGCCGAGTGATGGCATGGGGGGGGGAGGGAAACCATCCTTGTGTCCAGTTGTTTTGATGTGCAATGCCCTATAGTGAGTGTCATCTTGAGCGAAGAAGTTGAAACAGTTTAGGTCCAGGATCCGAGGTGGTTTTTTTCCTTTAAAGCTGGGTTGAAGGATAGGAAGTAGCAGAAGGAAAGTTCTTGAGATGTTTAATATGAGAGGAGCTTTGCCGGCTGATGTCTACTCTTGAAGGCCTTGGGTGGAAGAAGTTGCCGTGGAGACATTGTGGTGGCTACAAGGCTAGAGTGGGTTTTCCTTAGTTTGAGACATCCCAGATTGGTGGAGTGATAAAGATGCTTGACAGGATGACCCAGCCCACCTTCAGCTATGGAAATACATTGGATGACCTCGGACCAATCGCTCTCTTACAGCTGAACTGACCTCATAGCCTTTGTTCCCTTCAGTAATGGAAGAAAGTAGGTCTCAGGCGGGCGAAAGAAAGAAAGTGCTTTAGACAGTGGGATGTCGGGGGAGAGGACTGCCTCACCAGGCATAAACCTCACCGCACGTCACTGCCACGGATGAAGTTCCCTAGTTGGGTAATGAACTGTCTGCAAGAAAACAACCAAGCTCAGAGGGCATCATAGACCCCAAAGTACCTGAACCTGGTTGTCTCTTGCCCCTCTGGAATGCAGCCCTCCTTCCCAGGAATCCAGTCCACCTTAGGAGACCTTGGAGTAGCGGTTCCACCACAAAACCGTGTTCGACTAAAGTGCGCTCGACGAAACCGCGTACCTGACGTCATCACAGCGCGACGAAAA